GGCCAAGAGGGACGTAACTGTATAATTAACTTTAGATGTGCCTAATGTAACTCCATTATCATTGATGAGTCTTATGGAAAGACACTAAGAGGGAAATGTGGCTTCTAGAGTTTCATTGTGAAGCCAGCACGATTAAAGATTATTTCAGTATTTAGGCCCTGATTCAGCAAATTACTGAAGGTTATGCATAATATAAAGCCTGTAAGTCATCCCGCAGACGCGTGTGGGAATGCACACATGGTCACATGGTTCACGAGCGTAAGTTGCCTCTGAACCAAGGCCTCATCATCTAACCATTACTTAAAAAGATTCATCAAAAGATACATGAAGATTGTCTTGGGGCTAAAAGCTGACACATGCCACTGTTTCATTTTGAACCCACATTCCTTTTGTGTTTTTTCTTGCATTTATCTTTACATGGTATTGGTTCCTGGTGCAGAAGGATGGAGGCTCTGAGGAGGACACCAGACCCATCACCTGCACCGGCAGCGCTGCCAGAGCTACCTCTGCCAGTGGGAGGCCATTGGCAGCTAATTGGGAGGGTGGCAATTCTAACATCACCGTGGGTCCCCCTGAGCCCAGCTGGTTGTCACATAGACCAACAAACGCTGCAACTGGCCAGCATGAGCAGGGCTCAGACCCGGAGCTGAGGGATGGCGTTAGATCTTACCCAACCACCTCACCAACAGTGATGGCATGCAGCAAAGGCCACGTGATCAATATGTACCAAATCCACCAGATGGTAAAAAAAATAATAATATATATATATATGTAATATACAGAGGACAGTAACATACAGTACTGAGGTTGTTTTGTTTTGTTTTTTCCATCCATAAAATTGTAGAAGTCCATGATAATGAACCTTGAGCGTAATGAGTAAAAGCGATCCTCATCTATCTCTGCAGAAACGAAGTCAAGCGCAGCGTGTTGTTCACATAGGTAGCAAAAAGAAGAAAACATCCGTGGCACCAGCACCTAGCAGTGCTGTCAAACCCTGCTGCCTATGGGAGAGCTGATCCATCTCGAGCAAACTTCATCGGCTTCCATCAGCTTCTAGGAAAGGTTTATTTATATGAAATCAATGTCAGGCTCTGGGCTTTCAAGAAAACTGATACCCACGTGGATGTCTCTGTGTATAAACCAAAATCATTTTGCAACAAAACTAATGTATACAGTAGTTAGAGGGGACAAAATATTTGCCTTCTCAAGAAGCCATGCAATTCCTCTGATTTCAACAAACAATCCGACCCAGGTAACTTTTCCCTATCCACTGATATGCTGATCAGCACAAAGAGGGCTGTTAATGTACTTAAACAGACAAGTAAAAAAAAAAATAATTTGTGGTTTAACTTAAAGGTCAACTCAATATATATTGAGAACACAACTGAAATTCTGCCATTAAATATAATCACTCCTCCAGTGATGGTAAATACTGTGTGGAAATATTCATCTGGAGCAAATCCCGATCTCAGACGAACACAGGACTGGAGATGCATGGTGATGCAGGAGAGCAGGGCTCAACTTTGTGCACAGAGCCCTTCCCATCTACAACGTTTGGGTATCAGGGCTGAGGCCGCTGAAAAATCTCCTTTAAATTCCATAAGATGTGATCAACATAATAAGATTTTATGACAATAATAACAATAATAAAGTTTTTCTGGGTTTCTGTTTGGACTTTTTCCAGCTTTCTGGAGTCCTGCTTTCAAGCATTTCCCATATCAGCAAATGCTAGAAAATTACTTTCTCCTAAAAGGAAAGGAGTGAGATTTTTCTGTAATCATGTGGCTACAACAGTTAGAGCCTTCCAGATACAGGTAAGTGCCCTGAGCGTGCAGCTGCAGCACGACCTGCAGCACCGCGGGTGACAGAGTAGCCTGAGCCTCCCCTCCTGCCTCACCGCCCAGTGTGGGCAGCCCTCCTCAGCTCCGAGCATGGCATGGGTGTTCACAGCCCTGCACCAGTTTTCCTTTCTTTAACACAAAGAACTAAATCGAATAAGGCTTAGCTAGCATTTTATGCAAGCACAAACTTATTCTTTAAATAAGACACAAAGGTCAAATTTAAATCCTGAAGGTAGCATAAAAAAATTTAGATTAAACTGTGTGCATATATTTTTATATAGCATGTGTCCTGACAGTGTTGCCATCAGCATGGGCTTCAGAATTCATAATCCACAGTGTTATTTTTTTAAAACAGTTTGATTTGTTTATTAACTGTGCTTTCCTATTTCCATGAGATATAGACATCGACAGTGAATAGACCTTTTCTAATTGAACTGATAGCTTGAAAGTGAACATGTCCTTGAATTTACACTGAAAGATAGACAGTGATTATTTATAATAAGGAATTTAGTCAACTGCCTTTCCATTTGTACAGCAAGGACTTTATCAACAGACCATGTTTAGGTAAATAGTGCCAAATAAGATAAGTTCTGTATTAAAGGACGAATGTCTCACAGTGTCAGATGTACAAGGAAGAGACATTTGGTTGATGATATGTCCTGTAAGTATAAAGGAGAGTATTAAGATAACAGTTTATGCTAGCATTAATATATCAAAGTTCTGAACTGACCTGTTCCATCCAAACTGAATGCAAGAATGCTCCTAATTCCTAAGATTAATTTAATACCAAAAACAAAAACAACAACAACAAAAAAAAACCACATTCAGCCTTATGTCCTGTTTTGCAGCTTTATAAGAATTGCTGGATTTGCAAAATAGCATTACTGTACATATGGTAATAAATGGTCTGTGTTTGTCTAGCCAGAGTTGAAGCCTTTCTTCAAAAACATGCGCGCATGCGTGCACACACACACACACCTCTGTCTCTGCGAGCTCGCTTTGCCCACAATATTAGAGCCAAGCTATCTCCTTGCTGAAGGGCCTATTTGTCTGCTTTAAGTGAAATCACTCAATTCTCAAAAGTCAGTGGAGGACTTTGGAAGGGGGAGGGCTGGGAGAAGCCACTCCAAATAAGTTCCATTAATCAAAAGACACAGTCTAATGTAACTAATATTTTACAATTAGAGAAGACAAGATGGAACTAAAAGCCATCTATCTCTCTTACACCACATGATCATCGATTCATAATCAGAAGACTGAGTCGCACAAAGATGCATTTACAGAGGCTGGGGGAGGGGGCTTGGTCTGAGCCAGAGATAATGAACACGATGAGAAGGAGCGGCGCTGAAGGCTGAGGAAAGATGACACAGTGGTTCAATGGTGACGGATGACACGAAGATGAGTACTGATACCTGACAGGAAGCGAATGATGACTGCAGTCCTTTCCCACCATTATGATCCTCAATTATCTTGGTAAGGACTAAGAGAAAAAAAAGAAAAAAAAAAAAACAAAAACAAAAAACAAGTGGCTCAGCCCATCCGTTTATTTATAAGCTGTGATAATGCTAGATTGTGCCATGCTGCTGGGAAAGGCCACCTTTTCACAATTTGATCAGCACTTTATAGGAGCTGTAGTTTCCATTGTCAGCGCTCATAGGCAAAAGGGGAAATGGGAAAATACAGTACTTGTCCGTCTGTTTTGTAATAAAATTCCTAAATCTTCAAAGGGAGTTATTTTTTTTCTTTCACTGCCACCTTCAGGAAAAAAAATAAAAAAAATAAAAAAATATCCTAGGCTGACCAAAATAATCAAACAGAAGAGAGAAAACTCGCTTTGTATTTGCATGTAGAATTAGCAGGCTGCAGCTCACACTCCTGAAATTACACACACAGATTTATACAAATGCATAAGACGCGGCGGGAAATGAGCCAGTGTGAGCAAGAGCTGGAGCTGAGAGGAGTGCAGGAGCAAAATGAAAGGGAACTTTTAAAGGTTCCTCATTGATTTAGGGAATTATTAATAAAAAGGGAAGAAAGTTCGCTCGACACTGCTTTGTAGTTGCAGAAGATGCCACAGGCTAGCATTTTGATACCAAAGAATATGCCGTTCTGCTACATTATTTATTTTTAAAGACACAGATCTCCTAGCTATGTTGGAGTCATTGCTTTTGAGAAAAAGAAAAACAAATTAAGATTAATGTTCTACACAGCTCCTGATAGCAGTAAATATTTGATCAGAACAATTCACATTTAAATGTTGACACATTAAAGATCATATTTTGGAAGAAATATTGCTTCTTCATGCCTTAACCACAGCTTTCCCTTCTTGTCCCCTTCCCCCTTTGTCCTCTTGGAAAAAAAAAAAAAAGTACACCATAGAAATATATATATATATATATATATATATATATATGTACACATACACACCAAGTACACACAACATAGCAACATATTTCCTAGCCATGAAAAAAAAAAAAAAAAAGGAAAAAAAAAAGGTCAAAAATAGCTCTGCTTCTTTACTTTGAAGAAAAATCACATGTATTGTACAGGTCCCATATGCTCTGCAATTCTGCTGCCTTTTTCCTCAAGCTGCTTTACCCAAAGGAGCAGGCTGTGTGGTTTAGTTATACTCAGGGCAGACCAAGCCCGGCTGCTGTGCCTTTGGGCTGGCCACAGTCCTGAACATTATGGCAATGGGCTGGCGGGCCTGCTGGCTGCCCTACCTGCTAAGCTGGGATGGGAACACAAAGCCATCTCTTGCACCAGCTTCCTCACACACATATGAGCATGAAGCACCAGGTGGGCAGCCCAAGCCCAGCTACTCATCAAGCATGTTGAACACTGACCTGTGAGGCTTCACCTGACTCAATGCAAAATCTTTCCCTGGCCCCAGTACTGTTGGCACCACAAGTCTTCCGGCAAAACCTGCCACTACCTCTGCATCAGAAGGGAGCCATGTTACATGCAGCCCCTAGTCGCACCAGGCTTGTTGGCCAAGTGGCCTGCAGTAATGACCATTAAAGTTCAGCTGGTGCTCCTCAATATCAGAGATGTTTAGGGTGGAGAAGCTCTAGATTTTGGCCACATACATTAAATAAAATAACAGATGCAGAAAAAATAAATAAATAATAATAGCAAGAATTTTCCTAAATAAACCTGCAAAAGCTTCCTTCAGTGATTACTGCCTTCCAGCCCTGAGTGTGCACGGGACTACTTGGGCTTAATGGGCACCAGGGGTGTGAGTGGCTCCTGTTGGCAACCTTGATGCTGGGGGAAGGCAGGGATAGGAGGACATGTCCACAGGGCTACACAGGGCACCATTTGGTTGACAAACAGCATGTCCCCAAAGAACTGAAACTATATTATGTGACATACGGTACCTTTTATGAAGCTGCTTTTTAATTTTGATGGCTCCTTGCACAGAGAATACACATGCTAGACCAGGTTTGAAAGCAACACACAGAACAAACCGCACTCGGGGCTACTATACGATAAATGCAATATTCATCTCACACTCTGTGTGCACAATGAGAAGCCTCATTGGTACAAGACTATAAATATTCTAAGAAGCGTTTCCCAGATTTCCATTTAGGAATCCTAATTATGAACAAATGTCCTTAATCTTCCCACTTCATACATCTGAGATTTAAGACAGGTTGAATCCATGATCATCACCCTAATTAGCCCAAACAAAAGGCTCCACACATGAGAAGTATTGTTATAACGTATGCATCTTAACAGCAATTGATCACATATTGTAAAGCTATAACTGGTTTTCATAAATAAAATTTCCTCAGATCCTCAAAAGTGGTAACAACAGATATTATGTAATCCATTTTTTGAGTGTTTTTTTTTTTTCTTCTTCTTCTTCTCCCCCCCCCCTCCACCCCCCCCCCAAAAAAAAAAAAAAAAGCACACACTTGACTTATGCACAAGTTGGGCCTGTCTCCCTATAAGGTTATTTCAGGATTTCTAGGGATACATCTCTAATGCCAGTAGATTCACAACTGTGTAAAATTGGCCTATCATAGTGATTAATTGGACTAACTTAATCTATACCTGCAAATTAAGTAATTGCACACACAAATATCCTATTTAGCATGTGCATGCAGTTGTCTAATTCGCACATACAATCACACTCTTTGGGTAAGTGACATACACGATTATGAACACTTTTTCTGCCCTTGTGTGCACTCATAAATTCTCTGAAAAAAATATCTCATTCTTTGCATTGAATTCAAATAAACAAATATTTATGATATCTGTCAATATCACTGCTTTTCTCCAAATGGCAATCAGCACAAACTACCTACACTTACGAACTAGAAGGCAAACTAATAAAAAGGATAACAGGGAAATGAAAATACCTTACATTGTGCAATTGTTAGGCTCGATTCACTTGTTTTTCTTTGAACACAACTCCATAAAGTGTGACTATAGGAAACTTGGGTTGAGTATGCACTGAAAGACTGAAGGTTTAAAATAGAATTTGAAAATTATTTTCTTAGTTTTATAGTAGAAGATTTAGTTATTGACAGGGTACTAAAAAACTGTTATTAAGAAAAATATGAAGATCAGCCTGTGTTTTGGATCATGAGGACAATGTAATGCCTGCTGCTCAGCACACATAGACTGAAGTTTCCCTTTGTATTACCCCCACAGCTTTGAAACGGTGGCAAATAAATATTAACACCTGAAAGCCGCATTAAGAATCCCATGCAAATTTAAGCAGGAATAATCTTCAAAAAGAAAATGGAGGGGCGGGGGGGGGGTGGAGAGAGAGAAGGTTGCAGGAGGAACAAGGCTAGGAACCAGCGGCCAGCTCAGCAGCAGGAGAGGGCCGAGCACCCCAGAACTGAGAGGGCCGCGTGGGGGTCTCGCGCAGCTCAGGGCGCCGCGGGGCGGTCTGCAGCGACACCACGAGGCGCGGGCGACGCAGCGCAGCGCGGGGCCGCCTCCAGGCCCCGGCTCCGGTCCCGGCGCCCCCGCGGCCGCTCCGCGCCCCCAGCCGCGCAGGGGAGGGGGGCGCCGAGCAGAGCCGGGGGCGCAAGGCGGCCGCCCCCGAGCCTCCGAGGGCCTCGGGGTCGGGGAAGGCTACAGGGGACAGGCCGGAGCTGCCTGACCCGCTGGGATGGCGGAGGGCTGTTGAGCCCCATGTCGTGCGACACTGTGGGAAGTAATTTAGGTAGCATGGCTGGCAGCGGGGCTTTGCTCATTCTTTCAGTGTTAGCTTTTGCGTAGCTACTGGCTGGCTTAGGAGAAATACATCCTAACTTCTGTTATTCTATATCAAGGCGATTAGGGTCAGGAGGTTTGTGACCTTTTGCAGCCTCCCCAGGCCGCAGAGCACAGCCTGAGGCCCCTGCCAGCCCTGCAGCTTTGGGCTGGTAGCAGGGTTTGCACGTCGTCCCATCCCTTGTGCCTCAGGAGAGGCCAGTGTTGCTCGCCTGGGCCTTCAGCAGTCTCTGGTGCGTGGCTGGTCCTGCACCAGCTCCTGCTCCTTGCTGGCAGGTCATACTTCCAGCTCCTCTGCACACACTGCCAACTTCAAAAATCAGATATTTAACAACAGAAATAGTATGGTGCTGTCCTTTTGGCACGCACAATAAAGCCCAAGCATTGGCACAAGTCTTCCACTCCACATCTCATGAGGATGAAGCTTCCCGTGATGCAAAACTGGTGGGTAGGACAAGGCTGGGCTATGGAGCATGCCCAGGAGGGCCAGGGGGCAGCGGGGCCGGTGCCAGCAACACACAGAATTAATCAGAAAAAAATAGATAAATCACATCACTAACTGACTCAATTCCTGGATTATAAAGCCAGAAGGCACTACTGAGGTCACTCTTGACCTCCCTACTCCTGCAGCCTAGGGAACTTCCCAGAATTAGCTGGTCCATTGAGCTGGAGAGTGGGGGCTGAAACAGAGCGTAACTTTCAGAAAAAGGCTATGTCTTTATGGCAGAACTGGACTTGGATACACTGAAGGTGAGCCTTGGGATCTTCTCCAAGGCATATTTGGTGTAGTTGAGCATTTTTGTAGCTTGTCTCCAAACCCATTCAAACAATCCTGTCTTTGTAAGGCCAATACAGCCATGGAAGTGGAGACCATGCCAGCATTAGCTGCAGAGATCACAGTCTTCAGCAGGCTCTGCTGAGACCTGCAGGATTGCACTAACGCCACAGCCAACAAGTGCATGTTCTCCAAGTATACGCTCCCCACAAGCATTGCGCTGTTTTAAGAAGTCCTGCTGCTCAGCAGTGAAATGTATAACCCTTCTTTAAGTGTGACTTGTGAACTCACATTGGTCTTTAAATAAATTTCTTCTATGTGATTGTGTCCAATGCCCAGAGTCACAACTTGGTACAGAGGGATGTGGATAACTGTCCTGCCTCCACATGTCTGCTCGTTAACCACAGCCTCTGCACTAGCAGCAAGCTCTGCGAGTAGCCAGATTTTCCACTGTGCAACTGATTTAAAAAAGAAAAAAAAAAGAAACAGAAAAATACAGGCAAAAAAACTGGACTGTTCAGGACTCACAATTAAATACCCCTTTTATAATATCTATATATTATATAGATATAAATAATATTTTTTATAAAATCTGTAATGTTTTCCAACAGTAAGTGTTGAACCGATTTTGGAAAGGGATTGGATGCTAGTATTGCACTATGCTTCTGGTTTCTAAAGCAGCACTGGAGGTGACCAGCACTCCTGGGGTCACGCCAGGAGGCGGTGGCAGCCAGGAACAAAACCTGAGGTGCTGGAGTTTAGTGGAGCACTGAATCCACATTTCCAGTGTCAGAGCTCCCTACTAGATGGGCAATCTTTAATCCATTCAATATGCACCATATATTAATTTCCAAGTATTAATTTGGAACCGTTCATTAATTTGGAATCAGTGTACCTGCAGTAATCAAAACATCACATTGCAGAGAAGCAAAAGCATAGAGAAGTCTGCTACCTCAACATTGCTACTTTTACCAAACTGACTTAAAATCCCATCAAAAAAAAAAAAAAAAAATCACACCAAATGTGACAAGATTTGTTTTTGGAAATATATATTGATTGGCATTAATTATGTTTTCCACTGTTAATTCTTTATGAAATGAGTCTGAGATGATCTGTTTCATTATTTTCCCTAGACAGAAGGAAGCTTGTTAATTATTTTAGGTCACAAGATTGCCTTACTTCCAGCTTTCTGAAAGTTCATCTTCCAAAATGTAATAAAACCATACTTACGTGAAGTCTCTACTTTGGTCTATTTATTAAAATGCTTCGACTAGCAACATATTTCTTTGTTTCCTAAATGTTAAAGGCCTGGCCACCATCTCATACTTAAGAAGAGCGCTTGCCCTCAGCACTGCACATACACATGTGATGCATACAGAGCGCGTTACGAAGTACTTCACCATGTATTTAACCATTCAAAAGACTTGAATAGCTCAGATCTAGGTCCATGCATACGTGTAGTAGCCTAGACAGACTGGGGAGAGCTTGAAGAGAGGTGTGGGAGGCAGAAGGCAGCCAGAGCAGCCACCAGGAAGGACCACCCTGACGGTGGCGCGTGCCACCCATCTGGGATCTGAGAGCAAACGCTTGTTCTCCCTGCAGCTGACACAGACGCATCTGCAGTCACCATTAACAGGCTGTCACTTGCTTTGAGGGGAAGCACAGCCAGCGCTGTCTCTTCCCTGTGAAACAACAGGGCCATGCTGTCCCGGTGACCGTGCTGACCCTCTCGTGTCAGAGCTGTCATGGTCCAGCTGTGAGCCCCTACCTCTTCCCAGGGCCTGCAGGCTGCTGCTGACCACACTCTGAGGGCAGCACTCCACACCTCTGGGTTTAGCCCTGATGAAAGGTACCTGAATAAGGGTTGGTTTTTTTTTTTTTTTTTTGCTTTTTCCTCATGAGACTAGCTGGAAAGTATGGGGTAAGACTTCCATTGCCCCCCTCCTTTCAATTTTTACTATTTTTTCCCCTCCTTCCTTTCTCTCTTATCTATTTCCAGATAAGATCTCTGGCCCAATTGCAGTAATTACAGATTGTGCCTTATACTAGGTAGACATAAAGATGCATTTGGGAAGTTAGTTGACAGCACTCTTCTTTGCATGTAATATTAATTTCAGTTTGACAAACTTTCTCCTGATGCACTCAGGGG